ACTGAGGACCCCCCCAAACTTCATCCCTGCTGCCAGCAGAGGGTGAGAGGTGATTTATGGCACAGCAGCCCCGGGCTGGGTGACGTTAATGAGGCCCCGTCTGCCGCCGCCCCCGGCTGCTCCTGCCGGTGGGTTTGGGCTTGGCAGGTCAGGAAATTAAAATGTTATTGATGGGGGGAGTGAAGTGCAGCAGGATCGTTTATTTTTCATGTGATTTTTCTTTCTCCTTGGTCCAGCTGGGAGCTCCCTCAGGCAGCACAAAGAGCCCCCATTCCAACTGTCCAGGGGCTTCCCACTGCATCCCACCCCGTGGGATGGCTGGGAATGGAGTTGCCTTTATTTGTTTGCTTTTCTTTTTTTCTTTTCATGCTTCTAGGAAGCAACCCTGGACAAAAATGCAAATGGAGATGAGGGGCTGCAACCTCTCTGTCCCATCAGCCCCTTTGCAAGGAAACCTCCCCAGACCAGCAATTCCTGAGCCATTGTGGGCTGTGGGATTGCTGGAAGGAGAGGTTTTTGGGAAAGTGGGGATTAATTAATTCAAGCCCAGGTGGAGGAGACTTCAGTGATGCAGCAGAGCAGCTGCCACATCAAAGGCTGGCCTGGGGGCAGGGCAGTGTTGGGGTTGGTTTTAACTAATTGAACTGATGATTTAGCACCAGATTGAACCTCTAGGGAAAAAATAAAGTTACCCAGAAAAGCCCCCTCAAATCCATATTTCAAATCCCAACCCACCTCGGGCCACGTTTCCCACATGGGGCAGCTCCTGGTCCCTGATTTGCCCCCATGGACCAGGTCTAGCCCCAAAATCAGCCCCGGGGTGTTTGTTCCTCAGTGGGAAAAACCAGAAGAGATGGAATTCATGGTGCTGGTGAGGAGCTGTGATCCCACCAGGGGGGCTCCTGCAATCCAGGGCTGAGAAAATCCATCCTGCTCAGTCAGAATCACGAATCCAGTTTCTTTTTTTTGGGGAAAAAGGAATTTTATTCCCTGCTCTCATTGCAAAAAGGGTCTTGGGCATCATGTCTGCCCCAGCCAGCACTGGGAGCTTGGTCTGGGGAGTCTCAGACAAGTCCAGGATGCAGGATCCCAGGGTGGGTTGGCCATGGAGGGTATTTAAATTTTTTAATTATTTTAATTCTTTTTATTGCTTATTTAATGGCTGAGGGTTCAGGAATTTCTTGCCCCCTGATGGACTGTGGTGCCTGGGGGTGTTTTATTTGAGTCCCCAAGCCCTGAGCACATTAGGATGTTGTCCTTTGCATCCTCACAGGAGGTAGAAATTAAAAAAGTAAGCAAATAATTCCACCTTTTCCTGCCTCTTTAGCCATCCTCTTATTCCCCTGCACTCCCAGGAGAGGCACCAAATGCAATTCGAGGTAGATGGGTTGTACTTTGAGCCATAAATCAACATATTTCCACATTATATTCAGATTGAAATGATGAAAAATACATTATTCCCTTTCTGCCTTCTTTTATTCTCCCAAATAAATGCAGCCAAGTCTCTATTTCTGGGGGATATTTATCACATTATTGCACCTTGGGCTCTTCCAAGATGGGGGGGGAGCAGCAGAACTTAATTCTTAGGTTTTCTTTTAGCTAAATAACCCCAAATTTTTAATTAAATTCTTCCATACACCTGTCAAGGCTACATATGGATTTAGGGGTGTACTTAGAAAATCCAGCTGTGCTGATAAATCCCCCTGGGGGGGGGATGAGGGTGGAGGGAGGAGACTTTTTTCCCCTTCTTGGTGATTTATTAACATTTCTTTGATGCCATTGGAGATTCAGGTCTTACCTGCTTCTTCTGGGATCATCGGGGGGGAAAACAAGCCCGGGATGGTGGAGCTGAAGGGGTTATAAAGGGTGTGAAGTGTGAGGCTGCTCAGAATTCCAGCACCATGGGCCTCATCCTGCAGCTCCTCTGCTTCCTCCTGCTCCTCCGTTCCTGCCCCTGTGCCGTCATCACTGGGGTAAGTCCTGCTCCCACCCCCCAGGGTTTATATGGATTCATCTTCGTTATGTTGGGGAATAACACAGGAATCAGCCCTTTGTGCTGCTTGGTTTGTGTTGTTCTTTCACCCCCTGTTTTTTCCCAATTTATCTCTCATTTTCCCGACCTATGGGTGCTGTTCCCTCCACCAGCTTCTCCTCCCAGCCCCGTGTCAGCAGGGAAATGTGGGATTTTGGGAAGTTTTCCAGCAGGTAAAAATCAGTATATCTTTATGGACATCTCCCAGAGCATGTTACCGATTGGAACAAGGGTTCAAACACCCCAAATTGTCCTTTTTCCCCCTAAATTTAGAGGAATTATTAACAGAGGTGGGAGCTGTCAGGACGCCAAGGGCCGGTGGTTGCTCACCCTGTCCATGGACTCAGAGTGTCCCTGAGCAAGCACTGGACTGAGGGTGGTGCTAAAAGTGAATTTTAGGGACAGAATCCAGGTTTTTGTGGTGCTCCCAGGGTCTGGATGCTGGTCTCAGCAAAGCCAGGCTTGGCTGAACCCCTCTTTTTCCTCTGGATTTTTCCTTGAAAAAACCAAGCATTTCCATCCCACTGATTTCTCCACTGACTCCTCAAAAAGAGGGATAATGATGCTTTCCTGGCTTTTCCCAGCCAATGGGAATTTGGGAGTTGACTTCAACTGGCTCTTGGCTCCTCTTTCCCTTCATAGCCAGACCTCTTTCTTTGCAGCCTGTGGTGATTTTGATCTCTCCAACCTGGAGCTTCAGAGCCAGGTCAGGGGGATCCACCTCCATCCAGGGCCAAACACACCCAGCAGCTCCTGGAATTATTCCAGGACTTATCCCAGGGCTTGAAATTATTCCAGGGCCACATATTTTTAATACCACAAGGAAAGAGTTTGGATGTGCAGCTCCCTGGATACCTGCAGCCCCCACCAGCCCCCTGAGTCTGCAGGTGAGGGTTACTGAGATCTGATTTTTAACAGAATTTGGGATTTTTAAGGAGCTTTGGAAGCTCAGGGAGAATCAGGTTCCCACCAGGAAAGGGAATACTCTGTAAAATCCCCTTCCTGCCCAACCATGAGAGGGCTGCACCCCAAAACTTTGCTTTATGGTGGGGTTTTTTTTGTGATTTTGCCCCAGCTGCAATTGTCACATCTCTTCAACCACAGCTTGTGCTGGGAACTCCTGGGACAGAAATCCCCTGGGAGGGGAGGGCCCCAGGGGGGTGTTGGGTGAATCCCATCAGTTCTCCTTGTGCTGCCAACCCACCATCAGGCAGAGGGGTCGGAGAAGGTTTGGGGAATGCAATGA